TTCATAATCACCAAACTCGTGCTCCAGATCTGAAAACTGCCCCCAGAACCTCAACTTGTGGCTGAAACACTGTAATTTCCCAAAGACATTTGTTCCTGCAGCTGCCATGTCGCCTGGATGGCCATGTAGTCTGAGCACCCTCTACCTGGTGGCATTTCTTTCTTTTTTATATTTATTTATTTGGTTGTGCTGGGTCATTGCGGCACTTGGAATCCTTAGCTACAGCATGCACACTGTTAGTTGTGGAGTGTGGAATCAAGTTTCCTGACAAGGGATGGAGCCTGGGCCCCCTGCACTGGGAGTGCGGAGTCTCAGCCACTGGACCACCAGGGATGTCTCAACCTGCTGATGCTTCTTATTTTGAATTAGATATTTGGGGGTGTAGCAGTCTGCCTCCTTGCACTGTCTCATCTATCTCTGAGCCCACTATAGTGGGCATCCATAGTACCGGGCGCAAGTAGGTCCTGAGCAGATGCTCACAGAGCAATCCTCAGGGAGGACGCGTGGAGTGGGAAGCAGTCCTCGTTCCTGCACTGAGTCCATTGATGCCCTGATTGTGATGCTGCTGAAGAAGAGGAGTGAGGATGCTCTCTCTCTTGCTCTGGAAAGAACTCTAAGATATATTAAGCGGAAAAACAAACAAAAACCAAGTTCCATAACAGCATGGCTCATAGGCTCCCTTCTTCTCTTTCTTTTTGCAAAAAGGGAGAAAGTTCTAATCTACATTTACGGGTACATATATAAAGAAACACTGTAAGGAAACATAGGAAACCAAAAACAGTGTTTTAAAGAAAATACTTAAGAATACATTGAGTGAAAGAAGTACAAAATGTGTACATTGAAAACTACAAAACATTTCTGAATGAAGACCTAGATAAATGGAAAGATATCCCACATTCATAGATGGAAAGACTTAATAGTGGTAAGATAGCAATACTCTTGAAATTATTCTACAGATTCAATGCAATCCCACTCGAATCCCCAGATGGCTTTTCTGCAAAATATGACAAGCTGATCCCCTAAAATCATATGGAAATACAGGAGGCCCAGAAGAGCTGAAACATTCTTCAAAGAGGGCAAATTTAGAGGACTCACACTTCCCAATTTCAATATGTACTACAAACCAGCTGTAAATGAGACAGTGTGGTGCTGGCATAAGGACAGACATGGGTCAATGAAATAGAATTTAGAGTCGAAAACTAAAGCCTAGCATTTACAGTCAGTTGGTTTTCAACAAGGGTACCAAGAAGATTCAACAGGAAAAAGTAAAGTCTTTTCAACACGTGGTGCTGGGACAGCTGGATAGCCACTTTCGTAAGAGTGAATATGGACCTCTGCCTCACACCAGAAAGTAACTCACAGTGGATCATAAACCTACCTGTAACTAGACAACTTTTAGAAGAAAATAGGAGTAAGTCTTCATGCTTTGGGGCTAGGCAGTGAGACCAGATGCACAAATGATTAAAGAGAAGATTGAGAGATAGGGCCTAATAAAAATTTGAAACTTTTGTGTTTCACAGAACACCATCAAGAAAATAAAAAATAGTTCATGGACTTGGAGGAAATATTTGCAAATTGAGTATCTGATAAGGGATTTGTATCCAGATTATAGGAAAAAACTTTTGCAACTGAATATTGAAAAGACAAATAACCCAGTTTAAAAACGGGGTTTGGGAGTTAACAAGACATTTTTCCAAAAAGCTGTTTGAATGGCTAATAAGCCCATGGGAAGATGCTGAACGGCATTTGTCGTCAGGGAAACAATCAAAACCGAACTGAGCCACCTGCGGGGATGGCGGAAATGAATGCGTGGACAACAACAAGTGTTAGGGCAGATAGGGAGGAACGGAACCCTTGTGTGTTCAGCAGGATCTTGAAAACAGTACAGCCACTTTGGAAGACAGCCTGGCAGTTCCTCAGAATGTTAAACACAGAACTGCCATAGTAATGTAGTAGTGTGTGCTCTGTCGTGTCAGACACTTTACGACCCCATGGACTGTAGCCCACCAGGCTCCTCTGTCAATGGAATTTTCCAGGCAAGAATACTGGTGTGGCTTGCCATGTCCTCCTCCAGGGGATCTTCCTGACCCAGGGATCGACCCTGTGTCCATTTCATCTCCTGCGTTGCAGGCAGATTCTTTACCACTAGTGCCACCAGGAGTCATAAGAGATGCGGTCCATCCATACAACGGGATGTTACTTGGCCATAAAAAGGTGTGAAGTACTGACACCCTGCCACATGGATGAACCTCAAAATCATTGTGCTTGTGGAAGAAGCCAGTCATCAAACAGCAAGTTCCATTTTTAGAAAATGTCCAAAATAGGCGAATCTAGAGACAGTGGTAGCCTAGGGCTTGCAGAGGGGAGGACTGAGGCGTGCTGAAAATGCTCTAAAATTAGATTGTAGAGATGTTGCGCAGCTCTGTAAATATACTGAAAACACTCTGTTGTAGACTTTAAACCGGTGAACTTTATGTCATGTAAATTCTCTTAACAAGGCTGTTTATTGCAGAAGAGACAGGAAAACTGGGCAGATGGAGGACCTGGAGGAGAGGAAGGCTGTGTTCTGTACCTTTTATACTTTATGGGCCCTCAACCTGGGACTGGCATCTATTCATGAAGCAAAGGACCTAAATTAGGGGTTTGGGGCTAGCAGATACACACTACTATATATAAAATAGATAAACAACAAGATCCTACTCCATAGCACAGGGAACTATACTCAGTATCCTATAACATCCACAGTCGTCTTGCTCTACAGCAGTAATTAACACAAACACTGTAAATCAATTATACGTTAGTTTAAATAAAAAAGCAAAAGGGCCAAACAGAATTGAAGGGAGACTCCTGATGATCCTTCCTTCATTTGGGGAGAAGGGAGGGGGACACCAGCCACCCCCCAGCCCTCTGGGAGGTGATGGCTGGTGGACAGAGGTAGATGGGACGCAGGCAGCCTAGGCAGCTACCAAGACCCACTCATGGTCGAGAGGCACGGAGCTGCTGGGCCTGACGGGGACATAGAGCACACTTGGCCAGATGACAGCCGCCCAGCTGACCAAAGGGCGTTGTCCCTGCCCACCCCTCCACCCCCAGGACCTACATAAGGTTCCAGAACCATCCTCAGCCCCAAAGAAGGGTAGGAGACACCCGAGATTGACCCTGGCTCGCAGGATAGAAGCAGTGCTGACCACAGGGAAGGAGGGAGGGCTCTTGCAGGCCTGGGCTCCCCTGAGCCCCAGCCGTCTGCCGTCTCCCTCACATGCCTGGTCTCGTACCCGCTGGACCGAGAAAGGCCCCTGTGGTCAAGTTAGTTTGAAAAATGCTGGGCTAAGGAAAGTCAGAGTTTAGTTTTGTTGTTTCCAACTGCAGTCCTTCTCAGAGCCTTTGCCTATGGCCCTTCAGATGGGGCTCTGGTGGGTTCAGGGCCCGGCTGTGTTTTCTCAGGGATATCTGGTAGGGCAGAGGCAGACCTTTGTTTTACAACCGAGGGAAAGGAGCCCAGAGAGGTGAAGGGGCTCCTCCAGGGTGAGATCTTAACCCCCGAGCAGGCATCAAACCCAGTTCCCTGCATTGGGACGGGAAGTCTTAACCACTGGACCACCTGGGAAGTCCCACCCCTTACTCTTGTGGAATATCTCTACTTTCTTTAATGTCCTTTGGGGTTTTACCACTTCTACCAAACAGGTGGGTTAGATCATTTAAAACTTTTTTTTTTCCCCCAGTCAAATACACAGGCTTTCCTAAGGAGTTATAATTAACAACACGTCGAGTCAGTGGACCGGGAAGCCAGGCCCAACTCTTGCGGGCTCTGGCAGTGCCAGGCCCACGTCTGGCAGCTTCTGACTTGTGGCCCTGAGGGGTCCACCCTGTGTCAAAGCGACCCTGGTCCCCGCCTGCTCCAGCTCCTTCAGAAGTCTTATATATTTGAGCCTGTAGCTGGGGACACGTCTTGGGATGTGGCTGTTCCCCACAAAGAGGATCACAGAAGGGTTCTGCTCCCTGCTCAGCGTGTGAGGATGGAACAGCCTGGCTCTGCACAGCGAGGGACCTGGGTGCTGCCTTCTGCTTTGGCGTTTGAACAAACCTTCAAAACCTCCCCTGGTAAAAATTCTACAGGATAAATGATCTGGAATTCTACAGGATAAATGCTCTGGTTTCTTAGATTAAAGAAAAGCAGCAAGGGAAAACATGAGGCATGATGGGAATGTTCTAGATTAAAACATGTAACCAGAAGGATGGCGATTGGGTCCTGATTTGAACAAGCCAGCTGGAAAAAACACAAGACAGCCGGGAAGTGTGAACACCGGCACTTGTGACACTGAGGAGCGTTCTTTGCAGGAGTTGTCCTGGCATGAGGGCCTTTGGGGTTTTGTTTTTAAGAGAGAGATCAGTGGAGAAGGAAATGGCAACCCACTCCAGTATTCTTGCCTGGAAAAGTCCATGGACAGAGGAGCCTGGCGGGCTGCAGTCCATGGGGTTACATGACTAAGCATGTGTGCACGAGGATGGAGGGAGATGGGTTGGTAGCAATAAAGTGGTAGAACTGAAAAAAAAAAGAGAGAGAGAGAGATCCGGAGGTATTTACAGATCAAAACTATGATGGCCTTTGAAGGCCTTGGCAGGGCCCAGCGGTCCTGGAAAGCACATGCTGGGCCACGTCTGTGGGAGGTTCCTTAAGCTCTCCTACTTTTGCATATGTCGACTTCAACATAGACTATCTTAAAAATGTCCTGGCCCACCCAGCTCTGGGTCCTGGGCAGTAGAGGGACTTCCTGCCCATGTGGCTGACCCTCCGGCCTTGTGGCTGCTCCCCTGGAAAGCCAGGCCAGCCCCCACCCTGGGCCCCCAGTCTCTAGGCACTCCACATGCAGGTGTGTAGGAAGACCCGAGCTCATCCATCTGCCATAGGTGCCATTCCCCCTGCACCCCCAAGGCCACTCGGAGCCCCCAGCCAAACCCCCTCGCAACCCCCTCCCCGCACCGCCTTCCCGGCTACTCACTTGGCTCCTCCTGGCCCGCCAGGCTGCGGCCACCTTGCCTTCTCCGGCCCAGGCCACTCATTACTCAGGACGTTTATTCTTAGCCCAGATTTGGTTAGTGCCCGGCTGTACTTCCTGGGTTTTCCCCCCACCTATAGGATGTAAATCAGCGGCTCCCTCCTGCCGCACCTGCGCCGTCTGTCTCGGCCAAGGGGGTGGACTCGCCTGACGCTCCAGGAGCCCTGAGTGCTCTCTGCCGAGCCCCTGGGGGCACTGTACTTGCTAGGCCGCAGCAGGGTGGCCCAGCCCTCTTTCTCAGCGACCCTGTTCTCTTTCATCGCCCGGTCATCTCCTCCTCTTCCTTCTTCAGGCCCACCTCCTTTAGGAAGTCATCCCTGACTGCCCCTAGGTCAGGTGAATTATGATTCTCTGTGCTTCCGAAGTCCTGACCTGACTCCCAGCAGAGCAGTCATGAGGCTGAACTAGAGGCGGACAGACTGGGCTGGGGTCTTAGCTCAACCACATCCCAGCAGGAAGCCATGGTGGCAATTTAGTAGTTAACTTATCTGTGCCTCCGTTTCCCCTTCTGTGAAGTGGCTGTAAAGGCAGCCCCTGGTTCACAGGTCACAGGTGGCGATGAGACGGGGCTGAGTGCACCGTCAGGCCTCAGGGTGGTTCTCAGGGCCCAGCGTCTGGGACGAGCACTGTGGTCCCTGTCAGTGTCACTTTTCATCCCCCCAGATGACAAAGTCTTAAAGTGTGCTGACATGGAGAGCGGAAAAAATCTGGGGAAGCACGAGCCCCGGCCCATGGGAGAGAGTGCGTTGGTACCTCTGTGTGGATGGCGACACAGATGGTACCTCTGATGTGTATGTCCACATCTGGTAACATGGAGAACCTATGCCTGACGCATGACCCAGGAGCTCTTCTCCAGGGGCCACAGGCACTCACGGAGCGTGCCCAGCAGAGCATGGTTGTCGTGGAAACCGCGCCAATACCCACCAGGCAGCGATGGCCAAGCACATAAGGCTCACAGGCACAACCTAGAACACAACGCAGCCATCATAAAGAGTGAGACAAGTCTGTACCCGGGCATGTGGAGAGATCGTTAAGACCGATAGTTGAGTGAAAAAAAGTAGTTTGCAGCATGATTCTTGCAATAAGAGGCCTCTCAGTGAAACAAAGACAAGCAGGCCTCCTCACCCACTTGCACACCCCCAGGGCTGGGGCTCTCACCACTTCACAGAGAAGCTGGCTCCCAGGAGTGAGCAGATGGTACCTCCGGGAACAGACCCATTGCACCGACTGCTGTCTCTATGGGCACACACGGTCTCATCCGTTGGAGTTCTAACACCAGCAAAGTTATGCATGAAATGAAAAACAAGATCCACCCTGGTTCTGGGCAATGAGAGCTGAAGTCTCCCGTCCCCCAACACCGGTATCACTGCTGATCACAGCTTGTTAATGCTTTTGTTCAAACACTGTTTACAAGCAGTGGGTTTTGTGGACTCTCTTTTCTTTAATTGGAGGTGTCATTTACATGCAGTAAAATACAATATTCTCAGCAGGCAGGCCAGCAACTACTTACCAGGGGGCAAACCCAGGAAATGCTCCCCAGATCCAGACCTGAAACATTTGCAGTCCCCTGAAGGCCTCCCTACCCTTCACAGGCAGCCCAGAATAGCCCTTATTCTGACTCTACCACAGACTCATCATGTCTGCTCCTGGGCAGGGAACCTGCAAATACGATCGCCACTTCTTTCTTCCAGCCTTTGCTCGAGGTTAGATTTTATTACACCAGACAGAACAAGCTGGGGGGCCTTTGGGAATCTCAGGGAGCCTCATCTTCTTCTGCCCAAACAATGAACATGAAGCTCATATAGGACGGCAGCCTGTGGGACCCTCCCCCGCCACAGCCCCCCGAAGCAGGAACTACCCCACTGTGTGACTGTGCCCCCAGCAGAGACTGTCACCCCCCAGCAGGGATGACCCCCTATGTGACTCCCCCCCAGCAGAAACTGCCCCCCCGTGTGACTCCCCCCAAAGTGGGAACTGCTCCCACAGCAGGGATGACCCCCTGTGTGACTCCCCCCCAACAGAAACTGTCCCCCCGTGTGACTCCCCCCAAAGTGGGAACTGCTCCCACAGCAGGAACTGCCCCCATGTGACTCCCCCCATAGCAGGAACTGCCCCTCCAGCAGGAACTGCACCCCTAGTAGGAACTGCCCCTTGTGTGATTTCCTCTCAGTAAGAACTACCCTCCCAACAGGAATTGCCCCCTGTGTGATTCCCCCCAGCAGGAACTAACCCCTAGCAGGAACTGCCCCCCTGTGTGACTCCTCCCCAGCAGGAACTACCCCTCCCAACAGGAACTGCCCCCCTGTGTGACTCCTCCCCAGCAGAAACTACCCCCCCAGCAGGAACTGCCCATTGTGTGATTCCCACCCCCCAGCAGGAACTGCCCCCCTGTATGATTCCCCCAGCAGAAACTACCCCCCCCCAGCAGGAACTGCCCCCTGTGTGACTCCCCCCCAGCAGGAACTGCCCCCCCATGTGACTCCTCCCCAGCAGAAACTACCACCCCAGCAGGAACTGCCCATTGTGTGATTCCCACCCCCCAGCAGGAACTGCCCCCTGTGTGATTCCCCCCAGCAGGGACTGTCACCCCCCAGCAGGAACTGCCCCCTGTGTGACTCCCCCCCCAGCAGGGACTGTCACCCCCCAAGCAGGAACTGCACTTCCGTGTGACTCTCCCTGTGCCAGGAGCCCTCAGAGCAGGTGCCGAGATTTCTGCTCCTCATTCTGAAAGCAGCCCTTTCTCAGTGTCTCAGGGGAGACTCAGGATTCTAATTTTAAGCTCCACCATCAAGGGGACGTGAGAGTTCTAGAACTGGAGCAAAGACAGGGTAACCTCAGGGTTTGGAGCTGGTTCCACTCCACTGTGTCCTTAAACAGTTAAAAATAGAATATGGTAAAGAGTAACCTGAACCTGCGCAGGAAGGGCCTCTCCTGCCAAGCAGGACAGCAGGCTCTGCCACGGCCAGTGCGCTGATCCGGCCCCTTGGCCTCTGGCAGAACCTGGATGCACGTTTCACCAGGTGATGGATTTTGCCTCGTCATTCCCCACACATTTTTTTCTTGCAGATTAAACACTGTTAACAGGGTCCTTTCCCCACCTAATACATCCTATCAATCAAGTCCTTGTCTTTTTAGATAAGCTTTTCTGTGCTCATCCGGGAAAATAAAATAGCTCTGCAGGCTCTGTTCTAAATGTCCCGCCTTCATTGCACACGTCTTTTACCTTTTCTGTGTCTCATGCTAAGGCTTGAGTTCCTTAGGTGGAATTACTCAGCCAGACGGAATGTTCCAGCGAGATGGCTCCACTGTCCACATGTGCGTATGAGGTTTGGGCCCTGAGGTCCCAGCCACTAAAGTGGTGTCGGTCGGCCCCCCAGGGCCTGGTGGCTACCACTTCCCCAGCACTGTCTGCTGCCCGCCCCCAGCCCCCCACCCCAGGCCTGGAGGCCCAACCCGCTCGGAGAGTCCCAGGGGAAGACAAAAGCAAGAGTATCCAAAAAAGGACATTTCTTAGAAATGCAGCGAAAGCCCTGATTTTCATGATTCGATTTACATACCCGACTCAGAGGTGCTGAATTTCCTCTTTGCTACAGTTTGTGCTAATTTCTCAGAAATGCTGGAGGCCGGCATTTTAGCAAAACCCACTTCGAAGAAGCAAACAGTGGTTTCTTTATAGTGAATTCCCAGCTCTTTGTGGAAAGACTTATTTTCCATTAAAAAAAAATTTCCCCTCAAAACTTTTTTATTATGAGAAATTCAAATGTCAGAGAAAGGTTAAAAGTGGGGTGAGATGAATACCCCTGGGACCTGCAGGGGCTGAGCCCTGTTCATGGCAGGGTCTGCCATCCACAGTTGGTTTCCACTGGTACCTTCTGCTGACCTTAGGACGGTGCTTTTAGACACCTCACAGGCGTCTCCAGAGAAGTGGACCTTCTTGTACACAGACTGTCGTGTCCATGGCTAAGAAAATCAGTGATAATTCAAAGGCATCATCTAATACCTCATCCACATTTAAGGTTCCCAGTTGTCCTAAGAAGCTTTCGTGGCTGCTGCTTTTTTTTTTTTTTTAATTTTTATTTGTTTATTGTATTTTTGGCTGTGCTGGGTCTTTGTTGCTGGGAGGGCTTTCTCTAGTTGCAGCAAGTGGGGGCTACTCTCCAGTTGCGGTGTGCTGGCTTCTCATTGCCGTGGCGACTCTTTGCAGAGTTCGGGCTCAGTTGTTGTGGGTCACTGACTTAGTTGCCCTGCAGCATGTGGGATCTTTCCAGACCAGGGATCAAACCCATGTCCCCTGCATTGGCAGACAGATTCCTAACCACTGGACTACCAGGGAAGTCCCATGCCTGCTTCCTGTAATTCAGGATCCATCGAGGGTCACGCCTGCTGTTGGTTTGTCTCAGGTCCTTTTTCTCCTAGCATCGTTCCCTCCCTTTTGCTCTTTCATCTTCTTTGCACTCTTCTTTTCCCGTCTTCTGTCGCATGTCCCATGGAGTGCCCTGCAGCCTCCTCTCTGCTTGCCCCTCCCTGCCTGGTTTGACTCTGTCCTCCTCTTCCTTCTGTGAGTCCTGAGCGCTGAACAGTGTCTCTGTGGGCTCCCCTGGGTCGGGCCACACGTTTTGAGAAGACCCCCAGATGAGGAGTGTCCTTCCTATTGCATCTTATCAAGTGGAGCCCCGTGTCAGCTCACCCGCCTCGCATGACACTGACGGGGCCAGATGTCCCCATGTAAAGGCCCCGGCACACCCAAGCAGTCACCTGTGGCTGATGCTTTGGTGCCCCGTGCGTCCTGGTCCCCAGCCACTGCGGGTGATGGCTGCAGCTTTCACTGATGGCTTTCCAAAGCTGTCTTTCCTCCCATGTTTCCTAGACTGTGCTCTCTTGTGAAGGAGAGCTTTGTTTCCTTTGATGAAAAAAATATAGAAAATAACAATGAATAATATAACAAAACCTGTATTTTCACGTTATAAGGTTGGCATATTCACTTTCAAGTTTTTCTTTCAAAAA